GTCGGTGACTTCTGATGTCTCAAAAAACCTCAGTTTTCAGCACCGACAGGTAATAGGTTATTACAACTTTGAAATTTTCGACAGATATACAATGGGAACGCACGAACAGACGCATTTATTGATGAATCAGGACAGAACTTGGGGGTAGTAGTGAGGGAAGTAGTACATGCTTCCAAAACTCCCTCCACATCGAGCTGAGATCGATAATTCCTGCTTCCCGAAAAGCCATACTCTTCCAATCATAGCAACGCTTTTTCGAGTCTGACCTTCTAAAATAAATTCAAAAGAACTGCTATCATCCATTATAATAAAACCACCAACGCCCAAGAAAACGTGAAGATGGAACTCGGTTGGAAGACTAGTCCTTCCAAAACGGAAAACGCCAACTCTCAATAACTCCGTTAAAGATCAATGAAACTAAACAATATTCTATCACGCATTTGTGTAATGCTAACTCTCCCATGACGAAATTACGCTAATTGAATTGACGTTCGTTAAGTACGTAGGTCACTCCGCAACACCAGTAAAAAAATGGTTAACAAAATCAGTCCTAACCTCAAAGGTAGACCCATCGGATGAAATCTCCATGTCATTGTCATAGAAGTTTATCGTTCACGTTGCACCTCTTCTTTTTACCGAAAAGTAATTGAATCGAAAAACACCAAAGGTTCTCAAAAATTATGGACCGACTAATACAGTGCGTACCAAAAGTATGTGGACACCCTAGAATCGATTCTCAGGAGTCAGCTAAAGGCTTTTTGTGTTATGAAACCTTCACCATTCAACTCCTAGTGGTCGATAACCTACAATGACATTTTCGGCAAAAGATTTCGTTCTAACTTAGCGAACTATTTTTCATGGAAAGTTTTTTCTTTGTATCAAAATTATGTGGACACCCTGAGGCAGATGAAGTTTTTGCATCGATTTCCTAACCTATTTTTACTTCTCCTTTCGTTACTTATTCTGGCATCATTCCTCTTCACGGCAAGCGTTTTTCTGAAGAAGACCGAGCACAGAAATGGGATCCCCATGCTTCTGAACCTTCCTATTGCGAAATAGCACGTCAACCAGTCATGCGTCCTCGTAGGTTTGGAGAGAAATCCGAAATCCTGATGCTAAGCTCTCGACCTTGACTGAGGGTTGTTCTCAATCGCTACTTGTTCAAAACAGGAGAAGAATAGCCTTAATTTTCTCAAATTTTTCTTTTCGTACTACTCAACTTTACGCATAAATGATCTTCCCGATCTTAAAAAAGACCAATCGGTGTCTCATTCAATCAATTGAGCACACGACACGAAAGAAGATGAAGAAGGCTTTGTATATGAATGCGGGTTCAGGTTGGCAAGGTTGGAATTCCCACTCAAAAAAGGATCACAACATGATACTTTGAACCCACACAGACAGTGCTTTCGTGGAAATGGTAAAATTAGTATAAAAGACTTTCTGTGGAAATTTCTCTCATAGACCAACTCGACTGGCAGAAAGAAGCTTATTCCTTACTATTCGGGTGGGTCTTGAGGTTTTTGGAGAGACTTTGGTCGGACCCGCAGATGTGCTCGAAGAGACAATTCGGAAGATGTTCATCAAAGGTCTGGGGTGGTTCCAAAAGGAGGGGGACATTGAAGTTTGGCTTGCCAACATGTCAGGTAGACGACTAGGATTATAATGAGGTGCTTGAGTCCCGGCTACAACCTTTTTCGAAAAGTCATGGTTGCAAATCACTTGTTTTGCAGGGGAGGTCCCTGACACCATTCCATTTGGAAAAATGCTAAACGCAACGGCTTTGATTGGCAAGTCGGCTAGCGTATTCCTCAGACTTCATCCTTATTGAAAACGTAGAGGTATCGTGGTTCGCGGTCTCTACGTCATTGAACAAAAGAGTAATATCACAAGTGACCTAACACGTCGGTGAAATTTGCTAGTTGGGAACAGATCTGCAAGACATGTATCCAGACCCCATTCATAGCATGCCAAACAGAATGGCTCAACTTACTAGAAACTTTGGTAGGCCTACCGATTTCAGATTCTGAAGATATTGCCGTTTTTCAAAAAGTGTCCACATAATTTTGATACAAAGAAAAAACTTTCCATGAAAAATAGTTCGCTAAGTTAGAACGAAATCTTTTGCCGAAAATATCATTGTAGGTTATCGACCACTAGGAGTTGAATGGTGGAAGGTTTCATACATAAAAGCCTTTAGCTGACTCCTGAGAATCGATTCCAGGGTGTCCACATACTTTTGGTACGCACTGTACATACATACAAACCGACACACCAAGTTAGCGGTTTATATTAGGTTGGAAAGAAAGTCCTGCAACACTTTTTCAAATTTTTGATTTTAATTTTATCTTTTTTGTTTACAACTCCTGACCGGTCTTATATCTACCATGAGTGTCCACCACTTGTCTTCAACGCTCAGAAAATTTCTTGATGCTCCTTCGCCAAAACCCAGCGGAGTGCGGGTCGAGAAAGGAGGCGACCTCACTTTCGAGTTGGAGTTGATCGTCTAATTATTTCGTCATGAAGAAGGTTGAGGATAGGTGGCAGTCATTTACAGCTTTTGTGAACAGTTTATTCGGCAGGATAGCACGAGTATATTAGTCAGCGCACTTTGTCGCGGACGGTACACCATACCATACATACGTTCTACCAGATTTTTTGGACATGTTATATATAAGT